GGTTTGTGACCATTTCCGGGTTTTGAAAAAACCGAACCGGTTTTTTGTCCGGGTCAACCCGGCCGGGTCGGGTCGGTTTTTTAAACATAGGTTTCAATATCCTTGAGAACTTTTAAATCCTCAAAAGCTTCTTTCATCTTAGGTAGGGATGTTATTGGGCTAGTTTTTTATGCGCGCGTTGCGCGGTTTCGTAAATGCCCAATATTATGCACTCGTACGTGAAATATACTTTTGTAGAATCCACACTATGAAATTCAAATTACTGTACACACAAAAAGAACACAAAGGAAAAAAGTTTTAAGTGTAATTGATTTAGAACTAAGGCAAATGATTAACATTTTGAAATCAGATTATTAAACAACTGAAAATTAAGTATTGAATCAGAGAACAAAGTAGAGCAGAAAAATAGCATCATAAGACCTACGATAGCATGGAATAATTTTATTTAGAATACATACAGAAAGAATACTTTGAAGGAATTGGTGTGTAGACACTCCCTACCTGATTTGATAAGCAAGGCAATCTAGTTTTTTTTAATAAAGATACGGAGTATTAACAATTAGATTAATGAGAGATGCCACTGATATTCTCCATTTGACAACCATGTAGTGAAGGAAGCACTCCCCGTCATAAGAAATGTCAAAGACAAAATATAACCCAATTAGCTAATGGAACAAGACACAATACTCCATTTGCCTGCTATGTGTTATGTCACGTGCATAACAAATGCAAATAAAGGGGGGCTGAAATCAGTTAGAAAAGATAGACACGTGGCTAACGATCCGAATCAATTGGGAATCAGGCACAGCTCACGGATGAGGAAAGAGAATATAAGGCTCAAGGATTACACGCTCGAGGCATGTCGGAGGTGAAACTTCTAGCTGAATTCTATCTTCTCTCTTCTCTCTCTGAAACATTTTCCTTATATTCCTCCTGAATTATTCTGAGCCATTCTATCCCTAATTATAACAGGTGAGATCAGAGAATGATGAAGAGATGATTGCGGCCGTCCTTGATCGTCCAGTGCTTGTCCCTGTTGCTTAATTTCATAATCTGTTGTTTTCACTTGCTATGTTTCAGACTTATGCTAATAAATAATACGGACTCAGTTTAAGTTGCTGTAATTCTTGCTTGGTTCATTGAATAAATATTGTCGTTAAGAACTCTGTTTCATTGGTGCTTTCATTACGCTTCCATGGTTGAGGGCACTAGATTGCAGGAACTTCAGGCTGAAATCCGCACACATTCCGATGATATTCGTCGGATCGGACAGACTATGGATTTGCGATATCAGGAGCAAAACGATAAGATGCTGCAGATTCAGACGTCTATGGATCAAATTCAACTAGCTATTCATAAATTGCTGCAAAATGCTTCTCAATCACCTGGAAGTGTTTCGAACTCCAGTTCTCCGATTGTTTCTCATACACATACTCCCTTATCAGTTAAGGAGTTCTCGATGGGCTTTCCACACTTTGATGGAACAACACCAGTTATGGAGTGGATTTTTAAGGCTGAAAAATTTTTCTCCTATCATAATACTCCAGATGCATCTAGAGTGGACATTGCTGCTATGCATTTTGACAACGAAGTTGTACCCTGGTTTCAGATGTCACAGAAATTAGCATTGGTTTCTACTTGGTCAGAGTTGGTCCGTGCGTTGGAATCTCAATTTGGTCCATCACCTTTTGATTGTCCAATGGCCGAGCTCTTCAAGCTGCATCAAACAGGTTCAGTATCTGACTACTATCTCAAATTCACATCTCTTGCTAATAGATCCCTGGGCTTGAGTAATGAGGCATTCCTCAATTGTTTTCTCAGTGGATTAAATCCTGACATACGTAGAGATGTTGTTGCTATGTCTCCTCCTACATTAGTACGTGCTGTGGCATTAGCTAAACTTTATGAAGAAAAATACAGCCCTGTCCCAATACCAATGAGAACTTCTTTTACTCCAAAAAATGCTCCAGTTTCTTCTATTCCAGTGGTCCATATCCACAACCCAAAACCACAAAACAAAACTGTTCTACCTCCACTTTTACCTACACCACCGGGTCCTCCAGTTAGACCTCCGAATGTTAAGAGAATTACTCCGGCTGAAATGCAATTGCGTAGAGAAAAAGGCTTGTGCTATTTTTGTGATGAGAAATTTTCTTTTAATCACAAATGTCCTAATAGACAAGTGCTTATGTTACAACTAGAAGAAGAGAATAATGAAGACATGAGTAGTTTAATCACCTCTGAGAATATACCACAGGTTGAGACAACAGAATTGAATGACCATCATTTATCTTTAAATGCTCTCAAAGGCGGAATGGGGGCTGGTACTATCAGATTCAAGGCTTACATTGACACGCTACCTATCACAGTTTTGATTGATGGAGGCAGTTCTGATAATTTTTTACAGCCAAAAGTGGCCAAATTCTTACGCTTACCTATTGAACCAGCTACTCAATTTCGTGTGATGGTTGGCAATGGAAATTATATGACGGCAGAAGGAAGGGTTAACCTATTGAAAGTACATGTACAAGGGAATACTTTTGAAGTGCCTGTGTTTTTACTTCCTATATCTGGTGCTGATCTCATTCTAGGAGCTAGCTGGTTAAGGACTATTGGTCCGCATATTGCTGATTATGAATCCTTGCAACTCAAATTTTTGCTGAATGGAAAATTCACTACATTACAAGGGGACGGTGAATTGGTGCCAGAGCAAGCTCAGTTACACCACATCCGACGAATGGTTGCTACTGATTCCATTGCTGAAAATTATATTATGCAGCTCATGGAGTTAAATGAGGTTCCTGCATTTGGACCAGAAGTACTTACGAGTATGGACCCGGAAATATCTCAGTTACTAAACAAGTATCACATTGTCTTTAACACTCCTAGCAGTTTACCCCCACAGAGATCTCATGATCATTCTATTCCTTTGGTGGAAGGAGCTCAACCGGTGAAGGTTAAACCTTATAGGTATCCTCATAGTCAAAAGGAAGAAATTGAGAAATTGGTGTCTGGTATGCTAGATGAAGGAATCATACAACCAAGTAAAAGTCCTTTTTCTTCTCCTATTATTTTGGTCAAAAAGAAAGATGGTTCGTGGCGAGTGTGTACTGATTACAGGGCTTTAAATGCACTCACTATCAAAGATAGTTTTCCTATTCCAACTGTAGATGAGTTGCTGGATGAACTTTATGGAGCTTCATTTTTTTCTAAACTAGATTTAAGATCTGGTTATCATCAGATTTTGCTGAATCCGGAAGACAGACACAAGACAGCGTTTAGAACTCATCATGGCCATTATGAGTGGTTAGTTATGCCATTTGGGTTGACAAATGCTCCTGCCACTTTTCAAAGTCTTATGAATGACATTTTTGCTGGTATATTACGAAAATTTGTCTTGGTTTTTTTTGACGATATCCTAGTGTACAGTGCCACCTGGGAAGATCATTTACACCATTTAGAGGCGGTCTTGAGTATCTTACAACAACATCAATTATTTGCAAGATTTTCTAAATGCTGTTTTGGCGTTCAGCAGATCGATTATTTGGGACACACTCTTTCTGGACGTGGTGTGGCTATGAATTCCTGTAAGTTGACAGCAGTTCAACAATGGCCAGAGCCTCATACAATAAAGCAGTTGAGAGGGTTTTTAGGACTCACGGGTTATTACAGAAAGTTTGTTAAATCCTATGCTAGTATTGCAGCTCCTTTAACGGATTTATTAAAAAGGGAGTCTTTTAAATGGAATCCGGCTGCTTCTCAAGCTTTTCAAAAACTCAAACAAGCCATGACATCTGCACCCGTGTTGACTCTTCCTAACTTCAATGACATTTTTGTGTTAGAAACTGACGCGTCAGGCAGTGGAATTGGAGCGGTTCTCAGTCAAAATAAACATCCAATCGCTTATTTTTCGAAGAAGTTATCCTTAAGAATGCAGCAACAGTCTGCATATACTCGGGAATTCTATGCTATCACTGAGGCATTGGCTAAATTCAGACACTATCTTTTGGGACACAAGTTCATCATTAAAACGGATCAGAAAAGTCTTAAAGAGTTGCTTGAGCAAAGGTTACAAACACCAGAGCAACAACAGTGGCTTCCAAAATTTCTGGGGTACGATTTTACAATTCAATACAACCCCGGAAAGGAAAATATACCAGCGGATGCTTTGTCAAGGAGTTTCATGATGGCTATTTCTGCTCCTATTCATTCATGGATTAATAAAGTGATAGAGTCAACACAAAAGGACCCGCAACTCTCCCAGATTTATCAGAATTGTCTTCAAGGCAAATATTCAAATTCTACCTATAATATTCACGATGGGTTGTTGTTGTTTCAAGGAAAAATAATGTTGCCGAATGAACCGGAATTATTGCAGCAAATTATGCAAGAATTCCATAGTTCTAAAATTGGTGGACACTCGGGCATTCATCGCACTGTAGCTCGAATTGCTTCTCAATTTTTTTGGAAAGGCATGCGCAATGATATCGTCAAATTTGTTAAGGAATGTGTTATTTGTCAACAAGCTAAGGTTGACAATATTTTGCCAGCAGGTTTGCTTCAACCTCTTCCTATTCCTCAACAAATCTGGGAGGACATCGCCATGGACTTTATTGTTCAATTACCACCTTCTCAAGGTTTTACCACAATTTTTGTGGTTGTTGACAGACTGTCAAAATTTGGTTATTTCATTCCTCTGAAATCTGAGTATACCAGCAAGGTGGTGGCAGACGCCTTCATTACCAACATTGTTAAAATACATGGTTTCCCTAAAACCATTGTTTCTGACAGAGACAGAGTTTTCATTAGCAGTTTTTGGCAGCAATTATTTAAAGCTCAAGGTACAACGTTAGCAATGAGTTCCTCATATCACCCTCAATCCGATGGCCAGACGGAAAATCTTAATAAGACTCTCGAAATGTATCTAAGGTGTTTTGTATTTGATTATCCCAAGAGTTGGGTTGCTATGCTTCCTTGGGCTCAGTTTTGGTACAACACTTCATTCCATCAGAGTTTAGGTATGTCACCATTCCAAGTAGTTTTTGGGCGACCCCCACCAAGTGTGCTTCACTACGAAATAGATACTAAGGATCCATGTTCACTCAAGGAACTATTACAGCAGCGTGACCAGCTTTTAAAAACGGTGAAGGCTAATTTAACGAAAGCCCAACATTATATGAAAGGACAGGCAGACAAGAAAAGAAGAGATTTTCAGTTTAATGTTGGTGACTTGGTTTTGGTTAAACTCCAACCATATAGGCAGCATTCGGTAGCTTTGAGGAAGCATAAAAAATTGGGATTGCGCTACTTTGGTCCATTTCCAATACTTGAGAAGATTGGCACAGTTGCTTATAAAGTTCAATTGCCCGCTTCAGCTAAAATCCATCCGGTATTTCACGTGGCTCTTTTGAAACCTTTTTACGGCAAGAGTGAGCTGCCATATCTGCCCTTTCCATTGACTTCTAGTGAATTGGGACCAATGTTAAGCCCGTGGAAAGTGTTGGATGTGCGTGTTGTCAAACGTCAGGACAAAATGGTTTGGCAGCTATTGATTCAATGGGAGGCCACAGAGGTCAAAGATGCCACATGGGAGGATTTGCAGGACATCAAGGATTCTTATCCTCAGTTCAACCTTGAGGACAAGGTTGTTTCTGATGAAGAGGGTAATGTCACGTGCATAACAAATGCAAATAAAGGGGGGCTGAAATCAGTTAGAAAAGATAGACACGTGGCTAACGATCCGAATCAATTGGGAATCAGGCACAGCTCACGGATGAGGAAAGAGAATATAAGGCTCAAGGATTACACGCTCGAGGCATGTCGGAGGTGAAACTTCTAGCTGAATTCTATCTTCTCTCTTCTCTCTCTGAAACATTTTCCTTATATTCCTCCTGAATTATTCTGAGCCATTCTATCCCTAATTATAACAGGTGAGATCAGAGAATGATGAAGAGATGATTGCGGCCGTCCTTGATCGTCCAGTGCTTGTCCCTGTTGCTTAATTTCATAATCTGTTGTTTTCACTTGCTATGTTTCAGACTTATGCTAATAAATAATACGGACTCAGTTTAAGTTGCTGTAATTCTTGCTTGGTTCATTGAATAAATATTGTCGTTAAGAACTCTGTTTCATGTTACCTTTGTTTTAACGCAGTACAATTACGCATAGCGAACCGTAGTGTGCTTAGAACAATGATCATTCTTTAACCATGATTTATTACTCTGACCAGGTTCAGCATCAACTGTGAAACATTTGTTCTCATCAAGCTTTCCTTTTTATTTTTCTTCACACCTGTAAGCCTCAGCTTCATAGATTTGCATGTTGAAACTTTGAGATGCTACACCACGAAATATCCATTTTAAGAAATACTCTTGTTGGTAAAAAGCTGAATTGTTGGCAGATTTAAATCTTCACTATGACTTTTGTTGTCTCTGAGTTAGTTAATGAGACACTCATTACAAATATACAGGGGTGAGGTGAAATGTGGATACAATGTTGAAACTATTATTTCAGATTATTGGTAAGCTTCTCCGCTTTCCCACCAGTTGTCCTCTTATCCTATCAGATATACGTTAAAAATATTTAATTTTGAAAATATTTTAAAAAATTGTGGTAGATAATATAGCGCTTCCTCACCCTGTTTTTTTTGTTTTTTTTATAAATTTTAGTAGGAAGTCCATTTCCATTAGTTACATGTTTTTATGTGTAGCAAAAAAAAATGACAGGATCTTATGTATTCTAATGTTCACTTTCAAAATGTTTAGGTCATAACCTTATTTTCTAAGTTTCAATTCCCATGAATTTTACAAGTAAATATAATTTTTCAGATAAACTTTTTCCAATATATATACTACTAAATCTAAATTTTCTTAGTCTATGAACCATTAATATGTTTTAACTGAAATCTAAATAATCTCTCAACAAAACACGGAATAATTAGATACCATATATTAAAAGTTTAACACAATACAAATAATACTCCCTCCGTCCTGCTAAGATTGTCCCAGTATTCACTTGGTCAACACAATTTACTCTTAATCTCTTATTTTATATATCAAATTTTTATCAAATTTGATTCAGGTTTTTGCGACTTTGTAAAGTTTATAATGTAGTTTCTGAATATGTAAAAAAAAAATCTAAAAGAAATTTGAGAGCGGACAAGGATCTATTTGCTCTATCGCCGGTCAAGCATCGTAAACCGAATTGTCCCAATCTTAGTGGGACGGAAGGAGAAGATAATAACTTCCAAATCTATAGTAGACTTCTGTACATGTTAAAATGGGGTTATAAAACAGAAAAAGTGGTTATATGTCGTGGACTTGTTCTCTTACAAGATCAAGGTGACCCTAAATACATCTTTGGCATTTCTCGACCAATATAAAAATCTTTAATAGCATTCTTTGTGTAATAATAAAAACATACTACGGAGTGTTGGAAAAATGGTTTTACAAATTAATATTATGGTCATTAATATTATTTGTAAAAATCATTTTGAAATGAATGAGAAATTATTCCCCGAAAGATAAGCGTGAAATTTTACTTAACACGCATACACTGCCGCCGTCAGTCGGTCGGGTTCGGGTCTTTGACGAGTCAACAATCGGGCTTAAGATAGGAAGATTTAATTTTGCTACGTTTTCGGATAAAACCAAATTAAAGACACAACCATTCGTTTTAAAAGAAAGGTCATGAACTTTCTTTTAAAAGGTGTCTTTTGGGTTAAGAGACTCCTGGCCAGAGTTCTATAAATACCCGCCTTGTCTTCACTTTTGAGATATCCGAAAATTCAAAAAAACAATTCCTCAAATTCTCTCTTCCTTCGTTGCATCTTTGAGTTCGCCGGAATCCCTTTGGGAGCGAAGAACCGTTCTATCCTGGGAGACGCTTGCTACGTGTGTCGGGCAAAAACGTCTTAAGGAGACAACGCTTTTGTTGGGCTCGGTTGATACAAGTATTTTCTTTTACTTCTATTTATCTAATTAATGCATGCAGATTTACATGAATTTTAGTTAACACGGAGTATAATTGAAGTTTAATTTAACTGTTTTGGGGAAAAAATCTTAAACTTTATGTGGGTGCATGTGATTTAATCCTACTTTTCAGATGGTTCTTTTTCCATCTAGAGGGATTATGAGTGAAGGATAACAGTCTGGCCTATTTAATCCTTTTCTTCTTCTTTTGAGCAAAATGGCAAACTTAATCTGGGCTAGTGCCATTTGGTTCAGTTAGTTAATCCAACACCAAACACATTTATGCTGGTCACCCAATCAAGCTATTGAGTACCCAAAAACTGTTCATTGAAATTAGATAAAGAGTTGCACCAAATGAAGGGATAATGCCAGAAATCAAATTACTTGAAGAGGTTCATTTTCATCTGCAGAACCTAGAAATTCACTTACCAAGGTCTGGCGCTCTTCAGGAGTGCCAAAAGTTAAGCCCTTCTCCACAACATTGGAGGCAAATTTCTGTTGGCTCATCTGGACTATCTGTCCCTTTTGATTATTAATTACAGATGAACGTTCCTTTGGCTTTCCATGCTCCAACACGTGCTGCAGTAACACAATACACATTCCGTTAGAAGTCCAAAACACCAAAAGAAGTGAAAAGCATCACAGTCAAGGGCAAATAAAGCAGAGAAAGAGGGTTCCTACAGTGCAAATAGGGTGAGGAAGCGCGGAATAAAAAAAATTATCGTAGCTAAAGAGCATAAGGGTTGGAGAATGAGCCTCTACAACATCCATAACTGATGAAATCAATGGGAAGGTATTCAATTTCATAATAACTTGGGGTATTAATGATGAAGGGGTGAGTAAAGTTCAGCAAAAAATGGAGAATCGGGAAGGAAATATACCTGGAGGGTGGGCGCCACAAACTGGAACGATGGGAGCAGCTTGGTGAGGTCAAGGCGCGGACGGGGTCAGCTACGTGACCGCAGGTTTGGGAGACGATGGAAACACGGGGTGTACTAAACCGACGATAACAGAGCAAGATGGAACGGAGGGAGTTACTGGACGGAAATAAAACGGAAAATTATATTTCTTTAATATAGTACAAATGGTAAAGCACATGGTACTATCTCATTAAGCTGCATGATTACACCAACATTTTTTCCATCCCTAAAATGCCCTAACTCTCATTGGCTATTATAAGTTTTTATTTATTATAAGATATGGTAAAATTTGAATATACAAAACTTTAATTTGTTACAATAATATTTGTTGCACGATTTGTATGGTCAGATACGGTAAACTATACCGTACAGCCGGCTGTACCATGGGTTTTTTTGTAATTAATTTCACTCTATAGGGCAGTTGTTAAGTTAGTGCTTCGGTTTCTCCTTTTTTTCAGCCGGAATATTGTGCAAAAAAATGCACATCGGAAGTGATCCGAACCCGGGCTCTGTGGAGTGGAACGCCTGCAACCAAACCAACGAACTACGCTTGGTTCTTTGTTTGTAAGTGTTACTAAATATATTTAATATTCTTTCGCTCAAATACATTAAAAGCTAACTAGTACAGTACTTGTTACTAATAATAAAATTAATCATAATAAAATATAAAAAAAATGTCTTGTTTTTTTAAGATGAATATTTAGTAGTTTATTAAATATTGTGTGTTATTAAATGAGTTTTGTGTTATACTTAGATGAGTATAGTGTAAAATAAATGAGCATGAGTAAATATTATAAAAACAACGTAACACGATTATATTTCTAATTGAATAACAAAAGACTATAAATTATTTTTAATAAAATATTTATATATTTCTCATTTTTATATATAATAATAATTTATTAAATTGTTAATAAAGCATCTACTACATGTACATATTATAGAAATGAGTTTATGTTATATTCGAATGAGTATAACAATTAAAAGAAATGAGCGTATTTTTAAGAATCGTCTTTGAATTTTTCGATGCTCCTTTTGTAAGGGTACATATGTTCATCTGGTGTTGGGTTTATGCTCCTTTAAAATGTCATATCAATGCATATTTCAAAACTACCATATTACATTAGATTGACATGAGATTGATTATAGAGACGAAAGTAGAGATCATGATACTCAATTGCATGATTCTAATACTCAATAGAGAATGTTTGATGCTCAATGAAAATGTTTTGATGCTCACTCAACTAAAAAAAACTTATGAATTTCATACTAATGCTCATTTTATAATTTATGAATGCTCAATCGGTACTCAATTGCACGCTTCTAATATCCAACAAATGATGTTTAATGCTCAATAAAAAATGTCTTGATGCTCAACTAACAAAACTTTTTATTTTCATACTAATGCTTATTTTGTAAGCTACACATGCTCAATCAGTACTGATGTTATGCTCATTTTTAAAATGTCGTATCAATGCATATTTCAAAGGTATCATATACATTAGATTCACATAGTGAACTTCATAGGAATTGATTGTAGATATAATTTACTAAAAAAGTTAATTAGAATATAGGAAGCAGAAATTACGATGCTCAATACTAGACTCCTAATATAATCAACATAATAAGTCTAGTGCTAATTAAAAGTTTATTAATGCTCTTTTAACATAAACCGTTATTTTCATCTCAATATAGGAGGTTTGATGCTCAATGAAAATGTCATGACGCCCAACTAACAAACCTTACGATTTTCATATTTATGCGCATTTTGAAAGTTGTGTATGCTCATTTGATACTAATATTATGCTCATTTTAAAATTACATATCAATGCATATTTCAAAAGTACCATACTACATTAAATTCGCATATTGAAGTTTATAGAAGTTGATTATAGATATAATTTAATGAGTTTTTATAAAAGACAAAATAAGAAGAAAAAAAGTGAATTATAATATATGAAGTTGATATCACAATACTCATTATTCGACTTTTACTACACAGTAAAATACGTCTGGTGCTCATTAACAGTCTATTAATGCTCATCTAACGAAAATCACGGTTTTCACTGAAATTACGAAAATACCACCGTTTTTTAGTTGTGATATCAGATTTCTTGTAATAACATGGTGCTCATTATTAGACCCCTAATACTCATTAAAATTGAACTATTGCTCATTAATAGTGCACTAATGCTCATTTAGCAGAAATTGCAAATTTCACATTAATTACAAAAACGCCACCGAAATATTTTGTTGTTTTTCCCATGGGCCTGT